CGGCCGCACAAATCGCTTCTTTCAATAAATCACCCTTGCAATGAAAGCGAATGTAGGTTTTTAGCAGCGGACCTGACTTCTTGGAGAATGGCCAAGCCCCCTGATCTTGTTGTCAGAGCGCGCTTATACTTCGCGATCGAATCTCTCGAGCGTTTGGATCGCGAAGTATGGAGGCGCTTATCTTATTATTACCCGAAACAGGTGTATCCATTACCAGCCACCAGCTAGAGTCACTCTTATCGATCGTGGTGAACTTATCGAAAGAAACGCTACATACTCCAAGCGGCTAGGAATCAGACAAGGTTCATGGGGGTATGTAAAATGAGAGGATTGAGGGTGCTTTGTACAATAACTTGGTAGGTAACTGATAAATTTGGCTCTCATGCGACTACGGTCGATATAAAACACTGTGTTAATACTATCAAGACATAAAACGAGTTTTGATGGAGGAGGTTTTTTGGCTGAATGAGAATGCAGTGGTGAGTGATTGAGGTGTTTTCTGATATCAACAAAAGTATACAAGGAAAAACTTCACGGAACTTCAGAAAAGCGCGCTTAGCGCGTAAATGCTGCTGACTGCCGTTGGTTCAGCAGTAGCACTGGTGGATTAGAAGTATACTTTGAAAGGGTACAACTGAAATAGGTATACCAGAATGAGAATAAATGCAAACGGGATCTTCTCTAACATAGGGAAATAGAACAAAGCAATAACAAAACGGAGGATGTCTGAAAAAGCCTTCAGATAGAAGACATTTTCTAAAATCCCCCAGGGACATGGTTGATGAAAAAAATCTTCGACAAAAAAAAAGAAAACCGGGATAGCAGAAATGAACGCTAGGAAATAGCATCAATTCTACCACAATATCACAATATCGCCACCTGGTTGTCTGTCACATACACAACCTATTCGTCCGAGGGTTTAGTCGTTCGACACAGCTTACGCGGACGCCTTCGCTTCTTCTCTTCCCCTGCTTGGGCATTTGGCTCGGCTACTTTAGATCGAGATTTCAGCTTTTCCACAACAGCACAGAGATTATCCATCATCTGAATCTAGAAATGAATTAGAAAAGCGACAAGGGACGCAGAAATACAAAGAAAAAAATCTGCATGAAAGGGAATAAGTATACTAAACGGTGAGGGAAGCAGAGCTCGGAAGTGGTATAAGTGACGATGTGGGCAATATGAGGCACCAGGGTACTGCCCCATCCTTGGCGAAACTCCGGCCACATTTTGATCGACGCGAAACTCAAACCACATTTTGATCGGAACTTCTTCCAGTGAGTAGATTCGGCCGAAATTTACCGTAAGCCTCGCGGGGTGCCCTGCCCCCTCCGAGCCCGACTGTATTATCCATTAAAGCGAAAATGCATGGCGTCCTCTCAACATGTGTTAGCGCCCAAGGCCCGTTTCGGCATCGCGCGTAGCAGGCATTTTGCTTTAAATAGACGGGATATTCGTGTCCAGGGTGTAACAGTACCCCTAGAGAGAGGTTTTTAACAAAGTAGCCCGGGAAACAAACTTTTGGAGAAGGCTATCACCTAAGACAACTTCAGAGCATTTTGCACCAATTTTGATCAGTGGGACAGTGAATGGTAAATAGCGCCCAATGTGCTAAAGGTCTATCAATAAATACCTGTGACGTAGATAGGGCTTTCAGGCGAAAGCCTAGTGTGTGGAGGCTAATCAGGGATTCCGAGAGTTTATTACGCAAAATTAAACCCCTAAAACTGAGTCCATCGAAGAAGAACATAAAAGCGCAATGAGGGTTGATGTATCCACGCTGCGGCGACGTGGTGCACAAGCGCGCCATTCGCACCAGGACCTAACAGAATTATTGTGGGAATGCCGAAGTATGCCGAACAACTAGGAAATACTAGCCAGATTACACGCGTCGTAGCAACGTGAATGTAGCGTCCCACCTGCCAGAAAGACTAGAGAGACAGGAAGCTGCTCAGCATGAAACTTGCTCAGATTTTAGAAAAAATTTCCAAAACAAAAATGAAAGACCAAAGCGGAAGGCCTTTATCAATAAGTAATACTCACAAATCGTCTCACATGAAGTGCATCGCTAGCATCTTTGTCAACTTTAGGTGACGATTTTGATGACGATAAAGATGAATCCACGATGAACGGCTTAAACATTTCTTGATAAGAAAATCATAGAAAACTTCAGAAAATTTCCTGAGTAACATTTTGAATGAAAATAAAATCAAAGCGCATCACTTACCGTGAAATCTCTTTTTATGGTGACGGGCTCGTCAAACTTTCGGAACACATAGGGCTGTGTATTGATCGGATATCGATTTTTGCTCGGAATCTTCTCGAAACTCCGCTGATTGCGATCTATTTGATATTCGCAAAGGTAGACGTCCTCTTCCTTAATTCAGTACACTATGAGGCTCATGGTCAGAAGAAAATGGTAGAGAAATCGGTCAGAATGTGTATCAAACAACTAAATAAATAAATAAAAAATTAATAAATGAATAAATAAATGGGGTACTAAAAAAGACTAAGAAATGACTTGAATTGCCTAAAGATCACATTGTAAGACAAGCAGTAGTCGTTAAAGTGGTGACACGTGTGGCTGCGTTTAAGAACTTAAAAGCACACTCCGCATTCAAAAATGGTGTTGCAGCTCCCAGATGATAACGACAAGATGGTCAATAACACAAAAGTGAAGAAAAAAAGCACTAAAAACCCGTCCGAAATGCCCCACTTATAGAACCCCATGAGCCGCGCTCGTACGAGACTAAGGCGAAGGAAGGGCGCGGTCGGACGAGTTCATACTTGTTGGTGCCAGCTCTCTACCTATCTCACCGCTGCCCAAGTGTACCCCAATAAATCAGAAACTTGATGGTTTACAAATAGAAGGGGAATAACACTTCTAATGGAAAACGATTTGATCTCGAAAATGTCTTACCTTGAACTTCGGAACAGTCGGCCTGCCAGTGCACCAAACTGAGGGGTCCAGCACAGCGCACCGTCCCACTACGGCATCAAGAGGAAGCGTGTCATACAGAGGAGTAGCAAATACCTACAATTAACAGCGTTCATACAAGTAAGCAAACCTCATTGTTAGTGTCAAATCACAGATCTGCAAATAAAACCCCACCTCGTTCCTGTGAAATATCCGCTGCGAATCGCAAAACGTCTCATGGGGTCGAGCATAATAGAAACCGAACCCTAAACGATGGCCACCCGGTGCAGAGAAAAGTCGCTCCACTCGGAACACCCGCAGATCCTGAAGTCATTTGTATAACAATCAAAATAAATGCTCCATCAGAACACTAAATTCAGCAGTGCACTGAAAATTACCTTTCGATGAAACGTTGCTGGAGGAAGACGATCTTGTGCCGCTAGCGGAATGTCGTCGAACTTCTCTTCACCGACATCACTTTTCTTTCTCTTTTCATCCACTTCCATCAACTTTTTGAGGATCTTCTTATGCTGAAGACAAAACCACTTAAGAATTCGTTCAGTTTGAACTAAGGGCGCATTCATACATCGCGATTCAATCGCTCGGAACGAGCACTCGCATCGCGCGATCGGATCGCGTAGTATAAACGCGCTTCAAAAAGGTAGAAGAGTGACCAACTCACATCATCTTTGATGGATCGCTGGACGTGCACGGTCTCATTGAGTCGTACTTGAATTGAACGATTGTTGGTGAGAGCCTGAATTCATTACATAAGGGAGGTATTAAAAGCCGCCAATGTATGGAATGCGATGAGCCACAAGAGAACTAAAAGCAGTCCTACCTTGTAGTAACTGCAACCATATAACCGTATATCAGGCTGTTTTGCAAGGATCACATCGCTGCATGGACGTCCACCTGATATCACACCGCGACAGAACTGACATTTGTACTCCTGCAACAGCACACAGTATGGCATAGAACACCTCCGCAACGAGGGGGCATTGGGTGTGGGCATTTGTTCCGATGCCTCCTGCGTAGCAGTCCTGTAAAGCCACGCGACAGTAAGGGCTCCCCGATTTCATACCGCTTTTCGAAAATTGTTTTCTGGAAAACTCCGGGTTTTTTTTCTCAAAAACCCCAGTCGAAATACCGAAAACATTTTTTTACGAATGCAAATGAAAATACGACTCGCCCCAGTAACCAACGATTCGACTCCTTGATTACAAAGAAAGTATAATCTCCACTTACAGTTTCTTGGTCGACATCCCGTGTATCGAGACACTCGCTATGTAGCCAGAAGTTGCAGGTATCGCATTGCGTCATTTCGCCGTCTTCTTCCAAGGATCCACAGACACACCGCACCTATAGAAGTGGGTTTGAACAAAAAGATCAAAGGAAATAAAAATTTTCAATGTCAGTTTAAGGTCAAGTATGAATAGGAAGATGGATATTCTGGCTCCGTCCCATGAATAAGACGACTAGACAGTTCTGCTCGCTACTGATGGTGGGGCGTGTGGGAGTGGTTAGATTTGGCGCGGCACCAGCCTATTTTCTACAAAGATGTTGTGACATTGTCTACAAGGCCAATTCTTTCACAAATGAGGCTGCATTAGGTTGTCTCATAATCTGTCCGGCGAACGGTTGGCATCGCGCCAAACCCTGCCTTTTGACTTCACCGAGCACCTCACAAGGGAGGTCGTTCAGGGCGTGGTGAGCTTTTTCAAAATGGTCTTGTGCATATTGTAGGGGCACATACGAGGACCAGAAAACTGAGGTTCATTTTCGCTGCGCGCTTCTACGAATAAAAAAAACGTAAAAAATAGGTCGATGGTTCGGATCCCACCGAGGACAAAATTTTGCTTTTCTACAATTTTTCATTTTTTGGATCCATGTTTGTCTAAATAATTGGTCCTAATAAAAACATTCACGATGAACTGAACAATCCTACTTTTATGGAGCAAAACTGCTTTTTCGTTCGAATTCGTTAGTATGCACAGACTCAGCTCTTCGGCGCTATGCCGGTGCCAGATGGCACTGGAACCGAAAATAAAGTCTAGAATCGTGATCAGGACTGTCGATTACCCCTAGGAGCAAGTTTTGAGCGAAAAATTTTTTTGACTTTTTCGGGTTGTAGGTGACCATTTGGTCGGCAGTGTGAGCGGAGTCTCACATCTTCGTAACAGCGATGCGTATCGTTGACGCTACGGACCCCGGACAACCCAATAAGCAAACCCAAGAAGGTCAAAACAATTGTTTTGACCGAAAATTCGTTTTTAGTGGTAATCAGTGGCCCTGATCACAAATATAACACCTATTCTTGGCGTCCACGCAATTTGGCGACAGAATAGCGGTGAACGTTCCCTATATTGGTGTACATAACGAATTCAGTGGAAAGAAGATGTGGCCCCAAATTGTCTATAATTGACACCACACCAGAAGTTACTAAATTCGCAATCAGATCCACTGTATAGCCTATGAGGAACAACGTCCAGCAACAATCTTGTTCAATGGTGCGTGAAAATCGAAATAGTTGAATAGCACTGACTCATGAGGTACAGCTACTCAGAATGTGCCCATAAATGGCAAATATCCGAGTTATATTCATGCGCAGACACAAATGGAAGCGAGAACAGCGAAATCTAAAAAATGCAAAAAGCCACGACGCAAGGGGAGCCGAACCATCAACCCCACCCTCACTGTCCGATTGCGAAACCTCCACTCTATCCGCTAGGCCATCCGATGCTCGACTCTGCTAGCGCTCTTATCGTTGATGAAACCATTGCAAGAAGCCGTTCACCCTTGAGCACATGACCCAAGTTGGAAGCTCACTTGCGGCGATTTTTCGCTTCGATTCAAATAGCCCCTTTATAAGGACCCCCCACTCAGCAACTGGTCAAAGTTGCAAGTGACCTACGCCGCATAGAGGCCCAGAACGAAGCAGATTCCACAGATTTCTTTTCACTCGTTTTTTACCTTCCTGGAAAGCGCGCAGCGAAAATGAAGCACACTTTTCAGGTCCATGAGCCCCCACAATATGCAAAAAACCGTTTTCGAAAAGCGCACCACGCCCTGAACGACCTCCCTTGTCAGAGGAACAAGACTGTGGATCTCATTAAACTTTCACAAAACACACAAAAAAAAAAACGGGAAAAAACATATCCTCCTATAAAACTCACCGCATCATCCTTCTCATTCGCTTTTCCCAGAGGCCAAACTTCATCTGGGTCATAGCTGCCAACCTAAAGAACACACTGATACCAGGTGAATCGCGGAGCAGGGAAATTCAAAAAACTGAGAAAACCTCTACGAGGAGGAAGATGCCTAGTCGGGTTGAGGCTGATGAAAAACTCACCCGGAAATCTGAGTCGATATATTCCAGGTTGGTGTCCCGATTCACGAATCTGGCCTCCCTTCTACGATCTCTTTTCGGTTTCTCGTCTTTCTCGGGCTTTCCAACATCACAAAGGTATCGACCACGTAAGGCTCTGAAATGGCAGTCATTATAAGACCATCTAAGGAGTCCACGAATGAAAGGAACTCACGTGTAGGCGCGCTCAAAGTCTTCATCAGCCAGCTGATCCAGCCATCGTCCCATTTCAAGATCAAACGCAGCCGAAAGTTCAGACTTGCTCAGATGGGTCCGCTGTCGTTCAACACTACGAAGTAGGCGATTGACTCGGTGGTAGCCTGCTAGCGCTTTCAGAGGTAATCGTCCATCGATACGTCGCACCCTATAAGCATATTATTCAAGCTAATAAGTGATTTATTATTTCGATATACCAGTAAGTAGGTTTTGACTTGAAGCATAGATTTACTTTATATAAAGCAGCAGACTTAGGAGTCAGAGCCATCTTTCTGAGTGCATTCATACTCTGCGTCACCGCTTTTGACGTGCGGCAGCATTTTGGGCGCAAGGCATCATTTTGAGCGTGCGCCAGCGTTTTCAGCGACTAGGGGAGTATGGATACCTATCCAGCATTCTGAGCATACGCTGAAAACGATGGCGGACGCCCGAAACGCTGCACCGATACTCATAGTTTCCTAGACGCTCAGAACGCCCAAAACGCTGACGTACCCTCGAAACGTTTACGCGATGTATGAATTCACTCTTAAACGGGACATTTTTTCCCAGAGGGAAGGAGTAGAAGTAGCAACTTGATTTCAAGAAAAAAAAACAACAAGATGAAAACTCACCGGTACACAATCCCTTTGAGAACTGTGCGCAGGCCTTCGACTTGCGAGGCAGGAGGACCGAACGAACCGACCAAACCTGGAAACACCACTTGAATACTTGTATGATTCGAGTGGATATTTTCGAACGAGTTTTGCATCTAGTTTCCTGCTTGTTATGACGTATGTGGGCGGACAATCGCAATTTGCTGCGCTGGCGGGCGTCGCGTGCGACGTCGCGCGCAGAAATGAAGTGTTTCTAGGTCGGGGATGGCTACAATAGCCAATATTTAACCGAAGAAAAGCCATAAAT